ACTGCATGTTGTTTTACTGTTAACATGAAAGTCTGCATTTCATTCCATATTTTTTTTTATTTTTCTGTCCTCAGAGAGCCTGTGATCATTGGGTGGAGACCAGCAAAATACTGCTCACAGGACTTCATGGGAAATCAACAGAAAAGCATCTGATCAAGCGACCTGAACAATCTTTAAGCAGCACCAATCCAGCAGAAAGCATAAAGACTATGGTGACAATTCATTAAAAATGCATTCTGAATAAATAAAGCTGAATAAAGCTGACTGTCATTGCATTTCTTTAGAATGTAATTTAGTTTTAGTACAGGGCAGGAAAAAGAGGAAAAAAACAAGTTACTTTCTAATGGGTTTAGATTAATAAACAGTTTGGTAAACATAAGTTTGTCTCATATTTCTGCTAACATCTTTTCTATTTAGGTAATTTATCTAAACAGTTTTAAAAGAATGTTTGTTGAGTTGATGAACCTGTTTCGCTCTGCGTAGACTTAGTGGAATCTATGTTGTGAATTTCTGTGGAGAAGTTAAACATTTAACACATGCAAAGAGTTTTTATCTCACTGTTTAGTGAATTAATCCTACTACTACAACTACTTCTTCGTCCCTGTAAAACTACAATATAAAGAAACAGTTAAATGTATTTTTTTTTATGTCTTAATCCATACTTAATTAAAAGTGTTAATAAGTTAATGTTTTCGCTTGTGTTAAAGGGCTCTGCAGATCCATTGGTGGATTCAAGGCATGACATTGAAAGCATCAGTGATGAAATTAAGCCAGAATCAACTGAGGTTAGTGATTGGAACAACAAATAGTTCTCAGCAATGATGCAGACAGTCTGCCAGAACAGTTTTACCTTCAAGAAAAACATTTAACCAAATATTGATTTATTTGATTTATTCATAGTTCAAGTTGTCTTGCTGTTGTATCAGATACTTAGTAGATAATTTAAGCTGTTTCTAAAGAGATAAGTGTTACTTTTATTTCTCTTTAGAAGACAGAGGAAGAACTGAAACAAAGCCCCAAAAACATTAATTTCCTCACTTATTATTATTTAAATTTTTATTATTTATAAGTTAGTATTTTTAGAGCAACCAGGTTCATGCCTAAGATCATATTATTCTATGTTTTACATTTGCTGAACAGCTTAAGTTATTTGCACTTTAAAAAAAAAAAGATTTCACACATAACAATGTGATATATGAAATGAAACAGTGAATTTAGTGAATTTTCTTCTTTGGACCAGTTACATGGTGTCATAGAACACATGTCTGAGTAGTTTAAAATCTAATATAAAATAACATTTAACAAAGAATCAGGAAGCTGACTAGTCTACAGTTTACTGATTAAAATATATAATTTGTTTGTAGGATTTTAATGCTGGATGTTTACTTCATGTGTTAAAACCTTTCTTGCTATTGTTTTTATTTGTATTTAAATGTTCCAAAGACTTTATTTTCTCTTAGTTCTGGGGTTTCTGATGATATATATAGTATTTTTCAGCATAAATTTTCTTTCAAAAAATTGCTTTTGCAGCTTAAAAAGTAAAATATCTAATAATGTCGTCCTGCAGGGGGAGCCGTTGGAGTGCGACAGGCCTGTGCTGAAGCTCATAGACTATGATGGAAATATCACAGAAAAATACTTGGAGGAGAGCAGCGTCCAGCTGACTGGGGTCAGATGGTTTAAAATTTCATCATTTTTACAGTTCTATATTCATTCAGCCTGTTTGAACTCAATTTGAATCTTTTCATCAGGCCGACCAGCTGATTGTTTCTCCTGTAACAGAAGAGGACAGCAGAGCTTTTAGTGATCTAACAACAGTAGTTCTACTGCAGCAAGAACTAAGGTAAGGAAGATCACTGATCTTTCTATGAATTTATTTATGGTTTTTAAAGACATAAAAAAAAATCAAACCTTTCAAAGTTTACATCTCCCTGAAAAGGTACCTCCTTAACACTCTGTGGCCCATAGAATCCATCCATCCATTTTCTGTCACGCTTATCCCTGCTGGGGTCGCGAGGGGTGCTGATGCCTCTGTCCAGGTTAGAACCCACGCAAGCTCAGGGAGAACATGAAATCTCCATGCAGAAAGACCCCGGGCTGGGAATCAAACTCGGAACCTTCTTGCTGCAAGGCAGCAGTGCTACCCACTGCGTCAATGAGTAGCCCCACAAAGGAACCCCAATTTATTTATTTATTTAATTACATGTATAAAATCAGAAAGTAATGCATATTTCTTTCTGCATTTTCATTTACCTTTTGGATTGATAAAGTATTTTTGAATTTGAATTGATTTAAGTTAAATATTGAATATTAATATAAAGTGGACGTCAAAATAATTTCTACATATCTATGTACATACAGGGGGGCGCTGGCAGGGGGAACGATTTGACTGAGGCCATGCGAGCCGCAAAACACTCCAATAGCCCCTCCATGAGGCGGTTCCCTTATGGCACTGCCTTTTTCTCTGTGGAAAGATGGGATCCACATTGGGGAGAGGGGAAAAAAAGCATATTAACCTTGACACGATAAAGTTTGAGATATCAAAATAAAACACCTCAGCCCAAAAAAAAAGCACATGTAACACGAGACAAACATTTCAGCAGAAGGAAAAAGATTGGACGCTGGAGGAACATGAAAGTCTATCTGACATTTGAGCGTCAGTTTTGTGTGTATGATGAGTGCATTCAGTTTGTCCTTGAACGCTGTCCATAGGCCATTGTCCACGATAAGATGAAAGTTTATAAACCAGCACTCCAGTTCTGTTCCACAGGTGTTGGCGGGTAGGGGAGGTGGAGTGGAGCTGGTAGTTCTGGTCCCTTTCCCCATAACACCTAGGGAGAGTTCATATTGGGGAGGCCAAATCCTAAAAAGCACTTTTTGTTTGGAGAGCAGGCTGCACAGAATTTACCGTCTGCCTTGAAGTCTTTTCTTGCAGGCGCCTCATGGCGAATTCAATATTCCATATTTGCTGGGCTTTTGCGCCTTGAAGCGAGCGTGCACATCCAAGATCTTATCTCATTATTCCCTTGCAGATTATGCCTTTTCTCTCTATTCTTTCTTCTCACCAGAGAAGTTTTAAATTGTACTAATTCCGTATATTTAAAGAGTTATATTTAATATAATATTTATATTATATTTATATTTAAATGTTTGCAATACCAAACATTGTGTATAATTCTTAATTTAAATTATAATTGCTCTCAAATAAATATCTCAAAGGAGAATTGTACACATATATATTCAGTTTCCTTTATGCTGATATGGCTGTTGTAGCTGAGTACAATAATTTGTTTAGAAATTGTCCTTGCTTGTCCAGGGGATTATATGTCCAGCTGAAGTACGCAGGTCTAGGGAGTCTGTCAGATAACTTTAGAGAACAAACAGCCTCACAGAGATCATGGGGTAGAGAGGAGCAGTGAGGGAGAAAGCTGAGGTGAAATCTAAAGCAGGGCTTGGTTATAAGATCATATCTTGATCATCTTCTAAAGCATTGTTCTGCATCTGGTGTGCATCATCCTAATGGGAAGTAACAAGCATTAGGGAACAATTCTGGAGAAGGCCAGCGATCTGTTGCTGAGGTAAAAGAATCTTCTGACAGCACAACTTTTAGTCTTAAACTCAACAAGTTTCACCTTCATGGCAGACTTGGAAAAAAAAAGCCAAAAGGAAAGTTTGAGAAAAAAAAAAATTCAGCAGCCAGGCTGTGGGTGTAAAATATATTGAATAGATTAGTTAGTTAGATAAAATCAAAATAGAGCTTTATGCAAAGCACAATGTGTGGAGATTAAACACTGATCATTGTGGCAGCATCATGCTGTGAGATGGGTTTTTAGGTTTAGGGTAAACCTGGAACAAAACTTTGTTAGGGGTTGCAAAGAATTCTGATAGAGGATCACCTTGGAACAGTTTTCTGACGTTTCCTAGCCAATCTAATTGGTCTAGAGCTAATTTATTACGTAAATGAGAAAATAAGTCAGTCTCTAGATGTGCAAAGCTAATTAAAATATAATCCCAAATGACTTGCAGCTGCATTTGCATTTGAGTTTGGCTTTATGAAATATTCACGTAAGGAGTTTCAATACAAAAATCACCACACCTATAAAAATACATAATGAAGTTATACTGTAAGCTACTCTGTCACATGAAATCATATGTTTTTAAAAGATTAATATTTAATCAAAATATTAAATTAAATACTTTTTTATTATTTAACTGTTTTTTATACATTTTTTTTAATACACTCAATTTATCATGTTAAACATCATATATTATAACAAACACAGTTTATTTCCAGCCATTATTCCTATCAATCATGAATACTTCTGACGATGAAAGCATATATTTAAGATTAGAATCACACTAATAGAAAAACATTTTAATACAGAAAGGTGAGCTTAATGAAAATTTTGTTTAATACCTGTCATTTTTTTTCAAAGAGTGCTTTTAATCTGATAAGTGAACTTCTTCAGAATTGAAATGAGAAATTTTGCTATATAACCATCCATGTTGAAAAAAATGTAGAAACAGTTAAAGGAATAAATATTTCTAAAAGCTCATGTATTTTATTCACAGCTTCACTTTTACCTTTTTTAAATCCACTTCTTTAAATCTTGATTTTTGGCTGCTGTTTATGAGATTGTCAGATAGTCCTTTTTTAACAAAAAAAGCCTGACAAAGAAACCCTTTTGGCCAAAGTATATTTCATAAAATAAATATTTCTGGTTAAAATTTATCATAAGCAGTGCAATAACTTTTAAATATCTTATGTTGTTTGTCGCTTTTTAAATATTAAATATCCAGATGAATCATCCACGAAATAGATGTTTGTTGAACTTTTCCTGTTTTTGCTCAGTAATTATGAGATGCGAGCGAAGAACGCCGAGCAGCGAGCTCTGAAAGCAGAGGAGGCCCTGCATGCAGCGCTGGAGACGATCCAGGACCTGGAAAGAAGGCTGCAGAGCCCACCTGCTCCAGAACCTCAGAGTGAAAGTGGTAAAACCTTGTTGCTTCATCATTTAATAAAAAGAGGATCATCAAAGGTTACAATGCCATTATTTTCTGTTTCAGAGATACAGACACCTCCATCTCTTTCAGCCCCATCAGTTCCAACAGCAGCTTCCCCAAATCCATCTATAGGTGAAGCCAAACCATCAAGCACAACAAAAAAGACCAAGAAACCGTGATCTGACATGTGATCAAAACTTATCCTCCAATATGTGTTTATGGTGATTTATTTTGTTGTATTTAGCAGAGTTTTAAAGTAGAATCGGTTATAGGTTCTATCCCACACGTTTTAGAACAATAATTCAACAATAAAAAGAAAAAAACTTTGAAAAAAAAACCTCATTAGAACCTCAGAGAAATAAACATTTATAGTCTGCGTTTTCTTTCATCGTCTCACTGTTATACAAAGATTTACTTCAAGTTACCTTTTACACTGGTGACATGCTTGCTATGGCATCTTTTAACCCTTTAAAAAGCCTGCTGAAAATAAAGTTTATGTAGATATTCTTTAAAGTCCTGACAGTTTTGTTTCCTTCTTATGAAATTATAAATATGTTTCATATTGCAGTGATCTGGAGCGATTATACAATTGTGCATAAGGTCTCTCACAGTGACGCTAAATGTGTTAAAATTCAAATACTTCTGTTCAATAGTTTCTTTATAATTAATTGACATTAGAGGCCTGGATTTGAAAGCATTAAATTAAAATTAACTGAGGCAGACAACCTACTTTTTTGACAAAAAAAAATATGCTTATATTCTGGTATTTCTTTTCTGTTCCATGGATTTTAGTGTTTAATGCTTTTTTTCCTGATAATTCTTACACATAGCGTCACAAATAATACAATTTTTTTTAACATATTTTCTTTAGTAATAAAGCTTATTATTGTTGTGCTCACTGAATTCAGCTTTCATTTAAACTAGAATATTAGCATAATTTGATATATCTACTTAATTTATAAGTGTTTTGATCAAGACATAAATTAAATGTCATTGGTTTTTCATATCATTGGTGAGTCTGTCTCTGGCTTCGCCAACATCAAACCTTCGTCCTCATCCGACGCAGGTGGGGGAGGTGGTGGGAGAGAGGTGAGCTCAGGGTTTATGTTGAGGAGATCTGGAGGCAGAGGAAGGACCAAGGCAGGCTGGAGGTGACGGAGGGAGGCTCTAAAGCCTTCCCAGACAGCTGTCTCCCCTTCTGATGCCTTTACCTGCTGCCAAGCAAGAAGGACAGCTGTAATGAATCACCTGTCACCTCACGGCTGTGGAGCCTTATTTCTTACGAGATCTAAAAAATTACGTTATGTTGTCTTCAAATCAATGAAGCAAAACAAATATTTTAAGTAGGAACAGTTATTTAAAATGCATAATTCCTTACTCTGACCTGCTGTTGTCTCTTAGCCTCAGTATCTGCAGCCAGACTCTGTTGTAGCTCCAAAGGAAAACTGAGGTCATCTCTGACAAGAAAAGCAAACACAAGAATCAAAACACATATGTCAGCAATGCTAGAAAATCACAAAAAAATAATTTGAGAAACTAATAACTTAAAAGCTTACAACAAATATAAACAAAGGTTACACATGGAGCAGCAGAAAAAATAGAGGCTTTCAGCCTTACATGTCCACTCTCTCCACTTTGATTCCCCAGCGACAAGTAACAGAGTCCAGAGCTGTTTTTATCTGTCCTCCAATCCTCCGCCTGGACCGCAGGATGTGACTGAAACTATACTGGGCAAAAACGTCTCTGATAGCTGCCTGAACCAGACTCTGCAGAACCAAGGTCAGGCTGGATAGAGCTGCACTGCATAGAGCCACATTCTCTATCTGGTAATAACACACCGCGCTCAGCTCTGGCCTTGCTAGGTCCTTGGTCACCACCTGCGTGAGGAAGCCATAGGGAAATCTGGTCATTTATTAATAGCTTTAAATTATTATTTTTGACTTCTGTGTGTTTGTTTTGTACCACATGAGGAGGAACCTTTAACATCCGGAGCCGAATATCAACTATGTGACAGATGTCAAGGACTGGAAGGTAGAAAAGCAGGCCTGCAGAGAACAGTAAGGTGTAGAGAATAAGTATAAATAAAGTATAAACAAAAAAGTCTTAGATATAGCTTGATTTAAGATACTTAAGATCAATCACACTTTAAATTGACTTATAGCATAACAAAGGACATAATCAGCTACTTAAACAGTTATTTGCCATACCTCATTTTTTCAAAAGACAAGAAGATATATTAGTTTCTATAATGACTTTTTTGACAGATAATACAAGCTAGAGCATGTTTCTAAAATTAGATAAAAATTAGCAGAGTTTTTAAACTCTTAGAGAGCTAATCAGAGGCAGCCAGGGGGTCCATGGTTACTTGGAGAGAGACCCACAAATGTCACTTCACAAATCTGACCCCTGTATGAAGGGCAAGAAGAGACATGTGGCGCCTATTTGCAGTTTTTAACTAACCATGAATGAGACGAAGCAAACATGGTGCTGAACTCAGATGAGACAAACTGAAGTTTTTGGGAAACATGCAATGCTACATATGGTTAAAAAAGAAGGAAAATATAACATTTTACATCAGCTCAGACCTGCAGTTTTGAGGTTCCTCTCTTTTTCACAGTACAGAAACTGAAAGGAGGCTACAGCTGATTTAATCTGTTCTCTGATCCTAAAAGTGGACCGCAGGATGCGACTGAAGCTATACTGATAGCTGCCTGAACCAGACTGCAGCAACAAGGTCAGGCTGGATAGAGCTGTACTGCATAGAGCCACATACAGTAAATTGAAAAGGACAGCATGTCATACAGCCTGGGAACAAAACACCTTTTTAGTTCAGTTGTGTTGGTGAGGGATTGCATCTAAAAGTTGTAAGGTAGAAGCCCTCAAGGACTGCAGACTAGAGGTCCTGCACATGACTAAAATAATGTATTAGCTTATCAGCAAATTCCTGGAGAACTTGACTGCATGGTATTAAGGTAGTTAAGATATTAATTCATCTAAAGGTAGCAGGACACCAGCTCTCAAGGATTGAAGACCAAAACCCTTCCCATAAGGAAACATGGTGGTGGCATCATCATGCTTTTGGAATCCTTTTCTTTATTAGGGATTGGGAAGCTGTTAACAGATTATAAGAAGGTGGATGGAACAAAATACAGCTCAGAACTAGTAGAAAACCTCTGGCAGACTGCTTATAAATTGAAATTAAAGTGAAAAGTCACCCTAAAGCCAGAGGAAAAAATATCAAATAGTTTAGATCAAAGCATATTTATTTGGTTAAAATTCCAGTCCAGACGAAAATCCAATTAAAAATCTGTCTCTACATTTTAAAATCGACGTCTTCAGATGCTGTCTGTCAACATCACAGAGATGGAGCTGTTTTGTAAGATAAAGGGAGGAAAAATTCGATCCCTTACTTCATAAAGCTGAAAGAAAAAAAACAGAAAGACGTAGAAATGTGAGAAAAACGATATCATTATCTTAACGCTCCACTCTTGCACACATTTATGTATGTTAGCCCACTAAATAAGACAAATTGCCTTTCTGACAATAAAGTTTATCATTCATAAATAAATTCCAAGGTAAAAATAAATTAGTGGTAAAATTAGGACAAAAAGAGATAAAATCATAGACAGCTATGGAAATCAGTGTCTACTGGTCCATATTTTGTTACGGTAAATTAAAATGACTGTCTATGATCAATAAGAACAAATATATCAATCAGTGTCATGGGATGAAGAGGTGAGGAGGGGATAAAAGTGATTTGTGCTGACCTGGTCCCTTGGGTTTTCCTCGCAATAGATGACCAAGTCTGAAGATCACAGCTCTCTCGTGCTCTCGGATGACCTGTGAATCAAAATGACAGCTCTGTGCTGAAAGGTTCAGCTAAACATCAGGCACCGATAGCTGGAGGATACAGATGACATATAATGCATCTATATCTATGGCAATCACATATTTATCCAGATACGTATTACTAATTAGATTTTTATTATTGAGTCATCTTAGAGTGCTGAAGCAAAAAACATACAAAAAACTCAGTTGATATGTACTGAATGATATAAGATTGATATTTAGCTTGATAAGCTTAAACAATCATCACAAAAAGCATTTTTTTCCATGCACTGATGTTTTTTCTGGTTTCTGGAGAGTTTTAGTGATAATAGAACACAGTGAAACAGGTCAGCCATGGTTTTAGGGTTGCAGCTCATACCTTAATGCAGAACCAGATGGAAAGAGGAAGGAAGAGGAGAACCAGAGTCAGGACAAACACCATCAGCAGCCACTCAAATGGTCCCAGGCTCTTACGCTTTAGACCTGCAGAAATACAGAAGGTTTTGTTCTCCTACCAAATACAGGAAATCAAACATATAGGTCTTGAAAATCTTAAATTTATGTTTAAACCAACCACATTCACCTGCCAGCATTAAAATACCATAAAACAAATGAAAAGAACCTTATTACAACTCACCATCCTCCTGCTCCGCTGCTTCCAACAGCCCCATGTTCTCCTCCTGGACCTCGTTATCTCTAACGCGGTCTATGTCCACCACAGTAGATTTGGCCATAACCTCCTCCTTCTCCTCCTTCCTCTTCTCCTGGTTTGTCTCTGGCTTCTCCATCTGCCTCTTCTCCTTCCTGGTTGATGGAGCTCCAGTGTGGTGGCCTGACTTTGCCCGTCTCTGATCTGGATCTCTTGAAATCGCTGAAGCTCTATTCTCCCCCTCTTTACGCTGTGTCATTCTGGATCTGTGGATCGATTTAATGGTAGGAGGTTTCTCCATACCTGCTGGAAATTCAGCTGTAACCACTGTATGAGTGACAGATGTGGAGCTGTTTCCTTATGATGGGTCAGCACTGCTTTCCTGACATGAACGCAGAAGAATCGTTGGAACTGAACTGCTGAAGATTGGTTCCACTGAGCCTAAAAGAGCTCAGCTCTGAGGTGTCGCTCTCCAGGAATGAAACAGGAACAGATTTGGGCTGACTGAGAGTGGGAGTGAAGCAGCAGTAGGGCAGGGCCACAAGGAGTAAAAAGTTGTTTAAGATAACTTGAAACACAGGTATTCAACAGTACTGTTAGTCTTCCTTTTAAAGTAAACTTTCCAATTATTAGTGGTGTTTCTTCAGATAAAGAGGCTCCTGCATTGCAATCTTGACTGATATGGAGTCCTCACAAATTCCCCCAAACTAGTGACTGTAAACAGCCCTTAGGTTGTTTGGTAAATGTTCTAAATGGTAAATGGCCTGTACTTATATAGCACTATTTTGAGTAAGGAGACTCGACCAAAGCGCTTTACACTGCATTCAGTCATTCACCCATTCACGCACACACTGATGGTGGCAAACTACAGAGTAGCCACAGCTGCCTTGGAGCTCACCGACAGAAGGGAGGCTGCCATACCGGGCGCCACCAGGCGACACAAGGCAAGGCCGTCTGACCAACAGTAGGAAATGCAGGTAAAGTTTGCCCAAGGAGACAACAACACTGATAAAGCTGGAGTCGGGGCTTGAACCAACAACCCTCCGACTGCAGGGCAAACTCTTGCAACACCACTGTCTCCCTACGTCATAACTGTGGGTTTTGTTTGGGGTAATGTGTGGAATTAATTAAACGGCAGTTCAGGGAGTCTCAGAATAACCCAACAAGGAATGTGCTGAATCAGGCTAGCAGGAAATAATCGTTGTTTTCACACGGTGGAACATTAGATACCCTCCCCAACGTGGAATATTTTCTCAACAGTTACGTCTGACCAGGAAATGAAAGTGACGGTGGAGTAGGTCTCTACATTCCTGCCATCTAGAGATGAACTTACCTATTCCTCGTTGCTCAGTGATATAAGCTTGGTCAGAATAGATGTAAAGGATATGTAAAGATAACCTTTTAAATCTTGCCAAAGATGCTCAATTAGACACAGCTCTGGTGTTTGACAAGCTCATCCATTGTATCTTAAGCAGTTTTATCTGAACCTTCACACAGCTGCAAGTCTTTTGTAGCTTCTACACTGCAAGTGAGCAAAACATGCCTAAAATAAGTGTATTTCCCCATAATTTGAGTGGGTAAATAAGATGATCTGTCAATGGAATAAGTATGTTTAGCCTTAAAATGAGAAAATTTGATATTATGCACTTGAAATAAAAGACTGTGTTTGTTTTTTCTTATTTTAAAAGTTAATTGTTTTATTATTTTGGAAAAGTGTCTCACTAACCTGCTGAATTCAAGAAAAAAATGCCCTTAATTTAAGAATTAAATTAGTGGGAGTAAATAAATTAACTTCTACATTTTTTGCGATGTAGCAGTTTTTTTCTTTACTACCATTTATCTCCTCCCACCTTCCCGACAGCATTTACCCACTGATTTTGCTGAAGAAAAGCATCCCAACAGCATAATGTGGCCACTTCCATGCTTCGTGGAGTTTCCGATGATAAGCAGTGTAAAATTTTCACCTGTATGCATGAACCTCTACTAGTGCAGGAAAAAAACCTCTAAATTGGACTTTCATTTTGCCACTTCAAGTCAAGTCGGATTTATTGTCAATTTCTTTACATGCACTGGTCAAACAAAGAATTGACATTACATTTCTTACTTTCCCATGCAGACATAGACATACTTTAAAATATAAAATACAGACATTGACATAGACATAGACATAAATATATATATATATATATATATATATATATATATATATATATATATATATATATATATATATATATATATATATATATATATATATATATATATATATATATATATATATATATATATATATATATATATACATATATATACAGACATACCACATACAGACATTAAAGTGCAAAACTGAGACTTTTTAATATGTGTCAGATTTGTGGATTGTACAACTAATATTTTTACTGTTGATGACAGATGGAATAGTGCTCAATGACAAACATGGCTCTAGACAGGGGCCAAATATAGACATTAGAGGAAAGTATTGAATAAAAATATGCATAGAAGGAGTTGTGGATGGGGGAGGGTGGCCTAGTAGCTGGAGCATTGCGCATGGGTCTCCACACTCCCACAGACTGCCACTCTGTGTCCCTGAGCAAAGACCTTTAACCCCACACTGCCCCCCAGGCGCCGCACAATGGCAGCCCACTGCTCCCTAAGGGGATGGGTTAAATTCAGAGAGTTAATTTCATTGCTCTGTACTTGTGACAGTGTAATGACAATAAAAGTTTGAAAATAAAAGGAACTAAACTAAGTTAAGGGTAAGAGAACTACTTTAAAGATCTTAAAATTATATAGTTTTGGCAACATTTCTTTTCTTATTTTTTTTTTTTTTTTTTTTTTTTTTTTTTTTTTAGAAGGACAGGTATGTTGAAAAGGGAACAAAAATGTTGACAGCCTCTGATCCATACTCCTCTAAAAGGTGGCAGTGGTGCACCTCAAAGCTGTCTGGTAACTACCCTAAAACCAAAACAAGAAGAAGAAGATGAGGGATTTTTGCAGCAGTTGATGGCATCTCAAAGAGGTAATGCAATCATTTGAATCAGGTGTGCTGGAGCAAGGAGACATCTAAAACAAGACGGCTGTTGGGCTGAGGAGCAGGGTTGAGAAATGCTGTCTGCATGAGAAGGTCAGAACTTAACTTGTATACCCTTTAACTTTCCGTCTTTGACATGCTTTATCTGTTTGCTGTTTTTTCTTGGTCTTCATGATACAGTTTGTTCAATAGTCTTCTATATATATATATATATATATATCAGAGGCTCTCAGAACAGCTTGATTTATACTCAGATTAACCCACAAACAGAATAAATCTCTTTATCAATAAGGGTGACATGAAACCAAACCACTTTTCTAAGGGTTATCAGTCTGAAGCAGGATCAATAGGATGTCTCCTTTTGGACTTATTTTCCAGGAAACCACTTGAGAACTATAAACATGTTTTAACTTAGCATGTTTTCACAGCTTCATGTCAGCTTACCACAGAAAATGACCATAAAATACACTGACTGTTGGGTTTGTAATGTTGAATCAAAAGGCACTTTTAAGTCCTTGAAGTAGCAAATATCCTGCAGCTTTCTTGTTTCTTAGAATTTAAGAGAAATACCTGAAAGGGTAGTAACTTTTTATAGTACATAGACTCGGTTACATTGACCTGAAAATGTAGTTTAGAGAAAAATGCTTTAAGAAGTAGTTTTAATTAAATGTACTTTTACTTACAGTAACTAACATTTTCCTGAGAGTATTAATACTTTACTACTGAGGCAATTGGCTAAAAAATAAAGGCTTACACTATAAATGTATGGGTTAAATGATGAAGATTCAAGATTGTTAAATAATGTATAATATTGCAAATCAGTTGAGTCGGAGATTGGTGGTACATATAGGCCTATCTAAACTTTTGATACTTGCGAAACGAACATAAATGTAAATCAATACATTAGAATATCAATACTTGAATCTGAATTTGGGCAGAATTCTTTAGATTTCTGTTACAAAAAGTTAACACAAATTTTGCACTTTGAGTTCTAACAAACAAAACAAAAAAAGAGAAAATAGAATCAATTGAAAAAAGTCAAACGGGTTTAAAAGTTCTTAAATTACATCTGAACAAGGATGTAACTTTGTGATGAAAGTTGGTTGTGGCTGTTTGATCTACAGTTACTCGAACCAAAAGCTTTCATTAGGGTTTTGTAATTTCCAAAAATGAACTTCCAAATATTTATTTAATGATTTCCTATTGTTGAGAGCACAAGAGTACCGCAGTACACTGCTATTTATATGTAGTTAGGCAGATGCATTTTAGAGACTGGTATATAAAGGGCTCAAAAACAATGATGTATAAAAACATTATTAGTAACAGCCGATACCAATGCCAACATCAATATATAATGCATCACTAGCAAGTACACAATTTCAATTCTTTCTGTCTATCCATCATCCATTCATTCATCATCAATCCACCAATTTATTCATCATCCATCCATCCATCCATCCATCCATCCATCCATCCATCCATCCATCCATCCATCCATCCATCCATCCATCCATCCATCCAGAAAAAGTACAAATATTAACACAATGCTGTGCTCGTATTGATTTTGACACAATATTATGTCATATTTTATTTTGTATAGTACTGTATATAATTCTTGTTTGTTGTTATAGTAATATTTTAGGAAAACAAAAGGTTTACGTCCACAAATCCCTACACTGGTGGTGTAGTACCACTTGTGGCCACTGGAGGGTGCATTGCCTCCATGCTGCTCTGTAGGGTTAGAGCAGGGTTTGCACAGACTGGCTTTAGAGGCTGCAGGAAATACATCGCCGACCTAATCAATTTTCTCGGTTTTTTTCAGGTCAGTGAATGATTTGACGAGCAAACCTATGGTATGTGTAACTCTGTTTTTCTTAAGTTCCGTATCGTTTAACTTTTTGTCTGGAAAATTATATTCTTTGGCTGTTTATTACCGTGGAGCGTCTCGTGGTCAGTATGCTAATTAGGCTAACCCTTTAATTATCCTCCTTCACAAGCAGCAAAATATAATCTAGAAATTTGTCCCACACATCGTTGACAGACAAAGTCTATGTATTGAAAGATGTAATTAAATAATTTATGCACTAATTTCTACAAAAAAAATAAACAAATGCCATATTACACATACACAAAATTCTCCATACTTTAAAATGTTAACTTAAAAGTTAAAGCTAATTGGACTGTGGATAGCAAAACATATTTTTCATAATTTTTTTTAACCGTTGTACATTTATTTTAAAGTTTACCAAACCTTTTTTTTTTATGAAAAAAAACAAACATAAAAAATGAGATAATTCCACGAGATCATATTGAAACAATGAGGAAACCAACAAGGAGCCCTTGGCCGTTTACCCTGTTGACAGCTTCATGTTTTAAAGGCCACCGCTCTCGTATTATTATTTTTTTTTTAATCAATATCACTGGCGACATTCTGCTATAT